TTGTTGTTGTTCAACGCTGCCGGCCTTTTCGCCTTTTCTCTGGAGAGAAAGGGAGTCCCACCAACCAGCGTGTAACAAGGTTTTCGTGTGATTGAGAGCGAAGTTTCTGATTGAGAGCGAGATTGCGCGATGCGCTGTAGCTGGACTACCGCTGAGAGGTGGAGCTTGCTGCGTGACTTGAATTGAAGGCCTAGCCCGTAGCTACAAGCCGATACCCTGGTCATCNTTCTCTGGAGAGAGAGGGAGTCCCACCAACCAGCGTGTGTTGCACACACCACACAGCGAGAGCGGGACGGGAGCAGGGTGTGCCCTATACTACTGCTGCTGCTAGCTTTCGGCGGAGGAAGAGAGAGGAGAGATATTGATTGGGTCTGTGTAGGTCCATCGGTTGGTTGTTGTGATAGTGTTGCGACGCGACGGGAGGGAGCGGCCTCTGACTCTGCTCTGGGGAGAGGCACACAGGAGAGAATTTGGGTAGGGGTCCTTTTAAGTCCCCAAGGCTCCTGTTTTCGATGGGACCGACGTGTCCTATCCCTCGTGGTCACAGAATTTTCTGCTGAGTGCCCGGCACAACAATCTGTTTGAAGCGTTTGTTTCTGAGACTGAGATTCCAATTGCTGACATTGGTTTCGACTTGACCCCCTGGGTAGAGAAAGGATTCAGTGTGGGTGTGCTGCGTCAGGCTGAAATGGGATGGTGGTTTCTGTTTGATTGCTTGAAGAAGGAAAGTCTGAAAACTATGGCTAGGCACGCTGGTTCCCCCAGCAAGGCGTTCCGAGTGCTCAAAGATCACTTCCTACCGTTGAGCCAGAGTCAGATTCGTGTGCAAGAGGAGAAACTCAAGTCATTGCGCATGCGTTCGAATGAGAATCCCTCCATCTTCTTTACATCTATGAGAGAGACGCTTGGTGTGCTTCAGATGCTGGAAGTTAAGAAAGAGGACAGAGAGGTATGCAACCTGATGCTCGGGGGATTGTCACATGAGTATAAGACCCTGCGTGAAACTCTGGTGGTGTTCTGTCCGAATGACCCGTCGTTCATAGAGACTAAAGTGCGTGAGAGGTATCTCGACTTGCTGACTCAACCTGGTCCGAAGAAACACAGTGTTGCACTCATGTCTAGACCTGTGAGGAAGAGTGCGAAGAAGCAGAACCAGAAGTCAAAGTCTAACTCCGAGTCTGATTCGTCTAAGAAAAAGATTTTTCAGGGGAAGTGTTTCGAGTGTGGGGAGAAGGGTCACCTGAAGATGGACTGCCTGGCTCGTGTGATAGCTCATCCCTCTCAGACCGGACCATCCGAGGACGACAAGGATGAGAACGGTGAGAAGTCTGACTTGGTGTTGTTGTTATCTCAAGCCAACTCAAGCGAATGGAGTGGTGGCAAGTACATTGCAGCAATGTATGCCAAAATCATGCAGAAGTGGCAGGAGTCCCGTGGTAGCAGTAGAAATGATGCTGTTTTGGAACACCATGATACCATGTATCTTGAAGCGTTGTATACCGAAGCAGAGGATGAGTTGAAGAAGTACGTCGGCAGTGACCGTGTTGTCCGTGATTCTATTCGCGAACACTCCACTCTTACGAAGAAGGATAGATGCATCGAAGATTGGTATGCGGACACGGGTACAGCTTTCCACATGACAGACTCTCTCTCTTGCATGAAGGATGTGAAACCTTGCCACAAGAAAGTAAAAGGAATTGGTGGCGTAACTTGTGAGGTAGCACTATCAGGAACTCTTGAAGTGGCGTTTGTGTCTGCTGACAGCGAGTTTTCTGCAGAGTTGAAGAATGTGCTATATGCCCCCAAGTTAGGGTACAACCTTTTCTCTCCCAGCGCAGAGTTTGATGGCGAGTCATGGAATGGCCTTGGTGGTCCTGACGGTGTGATGACTGCTTTCCACGGGCATGTTACTTTTCAGAATTTCGATGGCATGCTTGTTGCTACTGCGTATCGTCTCGGACATAACTCTATTGGATCGGTGTTGGCTGCCCTCACCCCTTCAAACCCCAAGCGCGTAAAAATCATGGATGTGAACGATTTTCATAACATTTATGGTCATGCGCATGAAGGGCTGCTTAGGACCACTGCAAAGCGACTAGGTATCGAGTTGACCGGTAAAATGCATGCTTGTTCGGGATGTTCGATGGGAAAAGCAATTCGTAAGGCGATTGCTCATGTGACTACAAATAGATCAGACAAAAAGTTAGGCAGAGTTTTTGTTGACCTGGGAGGGAAGAAGGGCGTTGCGTCCATAGGGGGCAAACATTACCCCATGATTTTGAAGGATGACTTCACAAGGCGTGCATGGATGTATTTCCTAAGAAGTAAATCAGACGCTGGCAGTGCTTTCCGAAGTTTTCTTGCGAATGTGCGTGCTGATGGGATCCCATCATTGATTGAGATTGTTAGATCTGACAATGGAGGGGAATTTTTCGGTGGAGAATTTGCATCTGTGTGCAATGAGCTCTTGATTAAACAAGAGTTCACCCCGGCTCACAGTCCCGAATTCAATGGTGTTGCGGAACGTGGTTTGGGATTGATAGAAGAGGCCGCAATGGCGGCTCGTATTCAGGCGAAAGTTCTGTTTGGGCATGTGCAGTTACCTAAGACTGATAGACTCTGGGCGGAGGCCATGCACTGGGCCTGCGAGGCACTCAATCACACGGCTTGTTCTGCTAACCCCGACTCCAAATCGCCGTATGAAATGTGGTATGGGGAAGCTCGTCCTGCTAGACCGTATCCGTTTTTGAAGCCAGCGTACTGTAAATGGCAGCGACCGTCTAAGCTGCTACCGAAGGGTGAGAGTTGCTTTTATGTTGGTCCTTCGAGAGACCACCCACGTGATTGTCATAGAGTACTCACCAGAGCTGGGACTATTCAGGAAACGAGGAACGTAACGTGGGAAGCGTTGCCGTCACAGCTCCCTCCACCGCAACCTCCGCTGCCGATAGAGGTCGCAGAGGAGGAAGGGGAGGAAAGTGACGACGATGTAGAAGCTGAGGTATGGCCACTTGTAGGAAGAGGAGTTGCCCACACACTTTTGCGAAATAGTGCAGCGGTCCTCCCAACCTCCCCTAGTAGATCAATTCCCTCCATATCTTCTCAGTCCACTGATGGGGAGGAGCAGGGAGGGCAGGAAACGGGGGAAGTAGAGTCCGAAGATCCGGGAGAGCATGATGAAGTAGAGTCGGAGGATCCGGGAGGGCATGAAGAAGAGTCTATGGATCAGGGAGGGCAGGATACAGAGTCGGCGGGGCCGGGAGGGCAGGAAGTAGAGGTGGAGGCATCTCCTCCAGCCGCTCGCCGTCCGCAGCATGTCGTTGACCTTGCTGATTTTAATACTGCTGCGCGTGAGAGTGATGAGGTCCGAGCTGGTAGAACTCGTGCGCAAACCCGTGCGATAAATCAGCAGAGCGTATCCGGCCTTGTGGCTACTCTAGGACCCATCTCAGCATCAGAGATAGTACATGCACTCATAGCGGAGCAGAGAGCAGGTGATGCAGTAGAATTGCCGAAAGAGCTCATTCAGGACGTAGAGCCAGAGCCTGGTAGCTATCAAGAAGCTCTGCGATCGAAGCATGCCACGATTTGGGATAAAGCCATGTCTGCAGAAGTTGAAGGCTTGATACGAGCAGGAACGTTCACGTTAGCAGCAAAAATCCCAGAAGGTTGTAACGTGATTGATGCTAGATGGGTTTTCAAATGGAAAGCAGACGAAACAGGAAAGATAGTAAAGGCCAAGGCTAGGCTTGTAGCGAAGGGCTTCAAGCAGAAGCATGGGGTGGACTATCTTGAGACTTTCTCGCCTACTGCAAATGCTGCATCGATTCGATTGGTAGTAGCATTGGCGTGCAAGTATAACTTGGAATTACTCCACTTAGACATTGAGCAAGCCTTTGTTCAGTCGAAATTGGATCACGAGGTGTTCATGAAGTTGCCTCCTGGCTGTGATTCGATGTCAGGAAAAATTGTCCGTTTGAACAAGAGTTTGTACGGTTTGAAGCAAGCATCTAGAACATTTTACAAGAGGCTCGTGTCGGACCTGCTTCGGATAGGTTTCGAGCAGTCTCTGTCTGATCCCTGTGTCCTGCGTTTCATGATGGGAGACGAGGTGATGGGTATAATCGCGATTCATGTGGATGACATTCTGTATGCAGGAACGAAGAGGCTTGCCGAGGTGATTGTAGAGGCACTAGGTGACTCTCTTCCTACGAAGAATTTGGGAGAAGTCAGATTTTTTCTTGGTTGCGCATTTAGTCGCGACCGCGAGGCTGGCACGATTGAGATTTCTCAAGAGAGTTACATCAGGAGTGTTCTAGAGAGATTCAATATTTGTCGCACCAGCTCGATCCCCGCTTCCCCTGCCAACGATAGCAGGTCCGTGATGGAGGATGAGGAGGCAGGAGATGTGCCGTTCAGGGAAGTGGTGGGATGCCTGATGTGGATCGCCAACAATACGAGGCCAGAAACTTCGAACGCTGTGCGGACGGTGGCGAGACACTCTCACGAGCCCAAGAAGAGTGACTGGAAGGCAGCCCAGAAGATTTTGAGTTATCCAAAGGAAACGGCACATCTAACTCTGAAGTACAAGCAGGACACTACGGTAGACGTAGGCACGTAAGTGTACGTAGACGCTGACTTTGCCAGCAAGGCCACTGACCGTAGATCAGTTTCTGGAGCATTAGTTCTTGTAGCTGGCTGTCTTGTGTCTTGGTTTTCTTGGACGCAGAAATGTGTCTCACTGTCAACTTCTGAAGCAGAGTATATTGCGATAGGTGACGGTGTTAAGGAGGCTCTCTTTGTGAACGGGATGCTTCAGTTCTTGAGACCTAGTGTGAAGCCTCGGAAAACTGACGTATTTGAGGACAACGAAGGAGCGATTGCGCTTACAGAGAATTCGCTTAGCTCGAGTAGGAGTAAGCACATTGACGTGAGGCACCACTTCCTTAGGAATTTGACGGAGGAGGGCGTGATCGAGGTCACCCATGTCCCAAGCAAGGAACAGCATGCTGACATCCTCACAAAGGCTCTACCGAGAAACCTTTTTGAAGTTCACCGTGACTTTGTCCTTGGCTCAGTAGCTGAGAAGTAGAGATCTGAGTTAGTATCTGATTTTGTATTATTAGGTCTGGTCGAGACGACAGCCCCAAGGGAGGGTGTTCGTGAATTGTGGCTGTAGTATCGAATGTATGACGTGTATTATTACGGTGTAGTAGGTGATACTTGGTATTGTAACGAAACGTAACGCAAAGGTCAGTAGATTGCAGCGAGTAGATTGCAGCGAGTAGATTGCAGCGAATAGATTGCAGCGAATAGATTTATTGCTGAGGAAAAGCTGTAGCGAGAAGCCATGGGGAGCGCAGCCCACCGTGCTCACTCCACCTTGCCGACCTGTCTCTCCGNCTCTCTACACTCATTGTGGGCGAGAGGGTGTGTCGCCTCTGCTGCTGTTGCTGTTGCTGTTATCTAAAGCGGTGGCGGAAGCGTCCTGTTCAAACATTCAGCAGCAGCACCAGCACCAGCCGGGGAATTTTTCAACGTTTTTTTCTTCCTCTCTAGCTAATGACGATGGATAGCACCCCCCTCCCTCTCAAGCTGGTGACGATCGATACCACCCCCCTCGCTAGCTGATTATGGACACCACCCCCCCCTCTAGCGAATGATGATGGATACCACCCCCCT